TGGAGGGTGACAAGAGGATAGCATGTGTAGCGTGTTTTCCCCCCTTATCAGCGGTTGTTGATTGCTGAATTGCAGAATGTTGCAGCAAGGTGAGCTTTGTGCAGCACACAGTACCTGTACCGCTACTAATCCTAACTGTACTCCACTGATTCCCACCAGCTCACCTCTTCTGTCTGTTCCAGGCACCTGACATCACCTGGGATGGATAAGAGAGGAGAGCTGGTGGGGATCAGCGTGCCAAATCCGACATGTACCAACTGCCCTGAGCAGCACTGACCTGGTGACTCCCCCGTCCGCTGGCCTGGTGACTCCCCCATCCCCTGACCTGGTGACTCCCCCTGTGCCCTGACCTGGTGACTCCCCCCGTGTTCTCACCTGGTCACCCCCCAACCCCCCCCCCCCCCCCCCCCCCCCCCGTGTTCCGACCTGGTCACCGCCCTGTGTTCCTCCCTGCCGACTTAATTGTGCCCTGACTTAGTGACGCCTGTGCCCTGCCCTGGTGATTCAGCTGTGCCCTGCCCTGGTGATCCAGCTGTGCCCTGCCCTGGCTAATCAGTGATCATGTGCAAAGTAGTAAGCAAGATGTCACTTCTGACATCATTGCTTACTACGTGTGAAATCTGTGAGGTCACATGGTACAAGGCTATTCACAACAGTCTTGTACCATGTGACAAGCTGTGACCAATCACAGCTCACACAGTAGTTCTCAATGGCTGAGAAGGAGAAATGATTGCTTTTACAGCCTTTATGGGTGTAAAAGCAATCAGTGTAAAAAAAATAAATAATCTTCATCACCCCCCACAAGTAGTACAGTGTCACCATGGTGTACTACTAGGGTGACAGTATGTAAAAAAAAAAAAACATAAATAATAATACTACTACGTAAAAAACATAAATAATAATATAAAAAAATGTAAGAACATTTTTTTTAAAAAATTATAATTTTTGGTCATAAACTAATTTGTGTTCTTTTTCTTTTACTAAAAAGATAACGGAATAAATTTTGGCCATGATTTATGATGAAATACTATTTATTTGCAAAATTTTATAAGAAAAACACCTTTTTTCAAAATTTTTTGACTTTTTCATTTACACAGCAAAAAAAAATAAAAAATCCCAGTGGTGAATAAATACCACCAAAATAAAGCTTTATCTGTCTCAAAAAAAATGCTAAAAAATTCATATGGGTACAGTGTTGCATGACCGCGCAATTGTCATTCAAAGTGTGATAGCACTGAAAGCTGAAAATTGGCCTGGACAGGGAGGGGGTAAAAGTGTCCGGACTGGAAGTGGTTAAGCTGCAATCGAGAAGAGTAAAACATAGCTGTAGTCAGGGCTGTTCCAGGGTTTGTAGTTGTTTAGAAACAACCTCTATCCTCTGGGAGTTGCAAATATAATCTCACATTATATTTACAGAAGCTAGGTAATCTACCACCCTTAAGACTGATCAACCACCAGTAATTGGAGTATTGTTGAAACTGGGGCATTAAATGGTTGGCTTTAATACAGACTGAGAGATGACAATGTGGGAATAAAACTATGTGGCAATGTCTTTAAAGCCATAACAATTTTTATGCCAGATTCCATCTGAGCAACTTTGATCCCATGTCCTTGTAGATGATTAAGACCACTTTTTTATGTCTTTGATGGCTTTATGACTTTGAAAAACAATGGAATCAAAAGTTAGATCATTCCACCAAAATGCCACATGTATGGTCTGCTTTAGACTATTTGCTGTTTTGCACTAAGTAGCTTTAAAAGATGGTTGAATACCAAAATATGAAAAAAAAAAAATATATATATATATAGTTAGTAAACACTCTTTTTCCATTTCTGCCATAATATACTGTATATTGAGAGAGAATGGAGTTGTGCTTGGATTACTTTCTCTTCAGATGTTCAGGAGCCATCTAAGTTGGTATAACATTCTCCATGTGTGGTATTAGCATTGTGCTTTTTTAGGTTTATTCCCAGGTGCTACATTCAGCTGAATGGCCTGTCTATATTTGTATCATGAACTTCTACTGACATTTCAGTTGATTGCACACCATGGTTCTGTAGCATGTGAGAACTCTGTTTTTAATACCCATTTTGCTCAGGCACCACTGAACCATCCCAAGAGGGTTCCTCCACTTCCTACCTGCGGACGTGCTGTTGCTTTACACATACACAGCTCTCACAGTAAACTTCCTGTGTTGGACGCCCTCATAATTTCCCTCTGCCCTTCGTAGCCCAAGCTGTTTGTGTTTTCCAGACCATCTTCAAATCATTCTTCCAAAAACCCCTCCCCACAGCATTTTTTTCCTCATTACTAAACAAGATATATCTGTCCTCTCCGGGAGAAGTTGTTTAGTTGCAGGCTGGGCTCTCCAGCTGGGTGCTGTGTGTCTGGACTGTGGACAGAGTAAGCAGTTGTGGGGAAGGCAGTGCTCTCCCACACTGACCCCAGAGCAGTGTGTCCCATTGCAGAACACTGACATGTAGAAGTGTTTTGCATCAGTGTCTGGAGCATTGACGAGGGTTTGCTAACCCTTTCATCCCTGGCAATCCTTCTGGGCAATAACTGTGGAAAATCATTTTTTAATTGTGAACATATTACTCATCTTCCAGTTAGTTTGGGTACCCACAGTGACTCTTCTTTGTAGACTTTTCAACCATATGTACTGCTTCAAAGCCCTGAAATCTAAATGTTTATGGTATTTATTAGTAATCTCATGAAAGAACTGTGACAGCCATAGTTCAGCTTGGACTATCTGACAATGGGTGTCATCCTAACTGAAGGAGTGAATGGAACAATATAGTCACCGTTAACCATTTGCCTACTGGACACTTTCACCCGCTTCCTGCCCAGACCAGTTTCTTAGCTTTCAGCTCTGTCACATTTTGAATGGAAATTGTGTGGTCAAGCAACACTGTACCCATATGGAGTTTTTATCATTTTTCACACAAATAGAGCTTTCTTTTGGTGATTATTTAATAGCCACTGGGTTTTTTTTTTTTTGTACAAAACAAACGAAAGAAAGACCAAACACTCTTAAAAAAAAAAAAAAGTTTTTTTCTTCTGTTATAAAATTTAGCAAATGGGTAATTTTTCTCCTTCACTGATGTGTGCTGATGAGGTGGCAGTGAATGGCACTGATAAGGCGGCGCTGAAGGGCACTGACTGGCAGCACTGATGGACACTGTAGGAGGCTCTGATTGGCAGCACTGATGGCCACTGATTAGCAGCACTGATGGACAGTGCCCTGATTATTAGTGTAGATGTCCCCTCTCACACTTGCTGGTTACCAGCTCTCCTCTGTGACAGCGTGAGGAAACTACTGACAACCATCAACTGTGTATACATAGTGATCAGTCATTAGATACAGCTGATTACATGGTAAAGGGCTGCTGTGATGGCCCTTTACCATGATCTGTGATCAGGTATGTCAAGTGGCGGATGCGTGCCGCAGCGGGTGGGGTTCTGGGAGGACGCAAAAAGACACCCCTCCACCCCACCCCCCGTTGCCGTCATTCAGTTATAGCGCAGTTAGCAAGTGGTTAAAGGAAGGAAGTTTTCTGGCTTTTGTAAACCACAGTTGCTAATCTGTTTAGAAAGAGAAACTCTAGTTGCATGTCCTGATCCTACAGCAGCCATTTTGCGTTTTTTCTGGGCTGGATGGGCTTACTGCAATCTTCACTGTTTTGCACCCTGATTTAGTTATTGCAATATTCCCATTAGCAGTACCAACAGTATGTTTGTTTGGAAAATAAAAAGGTGCTTATTATACTAATACATTACATTCGTAAAGTCCCCCCCGTCACTTTTTTCAGTGTTGCTTTGTTGCAGCCGGATACCACAGTTGTTTAAATTCATTTTTTTCCTCAATAATCTACACTTAGTACCCCATAATGACAAAGCGAAAACAGAATTTCAGAAATGTTTGCAAATGTATGAAAAAGGAAAAAGTTAAATATCACCTTGGCATAAGTATTCAGACCCTTTGCAACAACACTTGAAATTCAGCTCAGGTGCCTCCTGTTTCTCTTGATTGTTGCTGAGATGTTTCTACATGTTGATAGGAGTCCTCCTGTGGTAAATTAAATTGATTGGACATGATTTGGAAAGGCACACACCTCTCTGTAAAAGACCACATAGCTGACAATGCATAGTGTATCAGAGCAAAAGCCATGAGATCAAAGGAACTGCTTACCTGCAAAGCTCAAACAAGATTGTTGCAAGGCATGGATCTGGGGAAGGCTACGAAAAGATTCTGCTGCACTGAAGGTTCCCAGGAGAAAACTGGTCTGCATGATTCTCAAATGGAAGATGTTTGGCACAACCAGGACTCTTCCAAGAGCTGGTTGCCCAGCCAAACTTGGCAATAGTGGGAGAAAGACCTTAGTATGAGAGGTGAGCAAGAATTGGACAGTGACTCTGACTGAGCTCCAGAGATACTGTGTGGAGATGGGACAAAGTTTCAGAAGGACAACCATCACTGCAGCCCTCCATTGATCTGGGCTTTATGGCAGAGTGGCTTGACGAAAGCCTCTCCTCTGTGCAAAACACATGAAAGCCTGCTTGGAGTTTGCCAAAAAGCACACTGGGCCTTCATGTTTTGCATATGTTATGCAAGTAGGCATAGAGCAAAGCACCCTTTCCTCTGGTTCACATATAGTTGAACTCAGGAACAATATGGTGTATTATATAAGGTGGTAAAGGGGTCAGGAAAGACTGTACCAAAATGGCCACATACATGAGGGCTCAAAATGAAAGATTACATAACTAAAACAAAGTGTAATTTTTCAATTCTGAGGATGATAACCCCTTTAGCCTGTGCCTCCCTTTAACCGCCTCCCACCCGCCATATAGTAAAATGATGGATGCAAGGCGGTTCTCTCATTCTGGGAGGACGTCATATGACATCCTCCCATTCTAACCGAGCATGCGCGGCTCCGGGAGCGTGCAGAGCGGCAATCGGTGGTGCGCTGTGTCTCTTGGATCACCGATTAACGGAAAGAGCCGAAGACGTCGGCTCGGTCATGTGATCAGCTGTGTCCAATCACAGCTGATCACATGTAAACAGGGAAATGCCGGTTATCGGCATTTCTCTCCTCACGAGCTGTCACGCTGACAGCTCGTGAGGAGAGGAGAGCCGGTAATCGGCATTCCTCGGAGGGGACATGTACACAGATCATCAGAGCACTGATGATCAGTGTGCCCTGATGATCTGTGTAGCCCCAGCAGTGCCAGCTGTCAGTGCTCATCCATGCCACCTACCAGTGCCACATCAATGCCACATATCAGTGCCCATCTGAGCTGCCTTTCATTGCCACCTATCAGTGCTGTTAATCAGTGCCACCTGTCAGTGCCACCTAACAGTGCCAGTCAGTGCTGCCTATCAGTGCCATATATGAGTGCTGCCTTTCCGTGGCCATCAGTGATGCCTGTCAATGCCCATCAGTGCAGCCTATCAGTGACCATCACTACAGCCTCATTAGCGCACATCAGTGAAGGAGAAAAATCACTTATTTACAAAATTGTATAAAAAACTAAGAAAAAATTTTGTTTTTCAAAATTTTCAGCACTTTTTGGTTTAAGAAAACATAAAAAACCCAGAGGTGATTAAATACCACCAAAATAAAGCTCTATCTGTCACAAAAAAAAGATAAAAATTTCATATGGGTACAGTGTTGCATGACCCGCGCAATTGTCATTCAAAGTGTGACAGTGCTGTAAATTGGCCTGGGCAGGAAGGGGGTATAAGTGCCCTGTAGGCTAGTGGTTAAAGATGGCCATAAATAGATTTGAATCTCAACTGGCTCCGCAGGGACTGACTGAGATTCGAACCATCTATGGGCAGGCTGATTGTACACAATTCAATTGTACAACTTGGGCACAACCTGCCTGTCAGATTTTTCATGTGATCCTTGACAGCGGCTCTATGTGTTCCCCCGGTTGGCATAGCTCCCACCTGTGCCCCCCGCTGGCAGAACACAATCGCTTCATAGCTCTGCGGGGGTGATTCCCTCATCAACACTGAGTGGTTGCAGGAAACAAAATTGCATCATCTATGGCCTGCCTAAGCCTGTGTCCTGTACTGGTTTTTTGTTTTATTCCTAGTGTCTTAATGAATGTTTTGTCAGTACAAGAACAAGGTAAAATGTTGTGTTCATCTTGTGAAAATCCCTTGCCAACAACCGGATTTGTTTCACCCTGTATCCATGCACTTTTGCCTGAATTCTGATACATTTATTCTCTGTCTGGTAGGTGTATGATGACAGTATGTTATATGCTGGGCACAGGTGTTTGCCATGATTTTTGCATCATGTTCTCATTTACATAGTGTCGGCTATTGAAGCAAATGCACATAAAGTATTATGTAATACTGCATGTAATTTGTTTGAATAATCTTTCTTCGAAAGTAATGTCTCCACTCCCTTGTTAATTTATGATATGCTGCATTCATCTGTATTTCCTGTGCGTGATAAATTAACCTGCTTGACTTAAGTATATGATAGATGATGTTCTTCCCAACCATTGCTAAACCATCTTGTGTCCATATATCCCACCCAGTGTTGTATTATTGCCTTCTGCACTCCTATGTAGACCTGTATTCCTGATTAACTTCATCTAAAGTTTTTATTTTAAAGGGGGGTTAATTCACCTTTACCAAAAATTGCCTATGCTGGAAAGAGGCGCTTGCAGATAAAAACAAGGTGTGCAAATTTGGCCAAAGTTGAATAAAGCCCTTGCTGTAGACGTAGCATATATATATGTATCTTCACAAGCCTGGTTTAAAAACTACCAGAGATGGCATTAGCACATACTGTCTTGTTGCTAAGACACTCCCAGGCAATTCAGACCCCTTTTAATGTGCACTTTCTCCCCTGTCGCAGTAGCTCTAAGCTCAGTGTTACCTTGGAGAATGATAGTGGACCACACGCATAGAAGTTTGAGACCACTCCTGTGATGGTTGGGCATGTTGCTAGGACATTGATAAGACACTCCCAGGCAATTCAAACCCTTTTTCATGTGCACTTTCTCCCCTGTCGCAGTAGCTCTGTGTTGTTACCTTGGTGAATGATAGTGGACCACACGCATCGAAGCTTGAGACCACTCCTGTGATGGTTGGGTGTGAGCAGTAATGGCTGGGAGTGCCTTAGCAATGTCCTAGCAACAAGGCAAGATGAGATCATGCCGTCTCTGGGAGTTTTTCAGTCAGGCTTTGGGAGGTATGTAAATGGCCTACACCTATAGCAAGGGCATTATCTGATTTCTTTATTTTTATTTTTTTACTCTTCATGTGCCCCTTAGCTGCAGAGGCAGTTATTTTGTAAAGGGGAGTCAACATTTAATATTGAATGTGAGTCAATGATAAAGGAAAGTCAAGTGAAGTCATATTTCCATGTGCCTTCCTTCTCATTACACACACACTACCTGTATCTTTCATGTCTATCACCTTGTAAGTGTGAGTGATCCAATAGGCTTGAGATTTCGAAAGTCAATTTCAGCTATTTTCAAGCAGATCAGGTGATTGTCTCACATTAGCAGTCCCCTACTAAGCCATCCTCTTTGGGAAGGATACATTAATAACAAGCTCTGATTGCTTGTCCCCTCCCCTCTTATGGAAATTAGCACTGACCTTATCTTCCACTTGATCTCCAACCATCACTGTTATGTGGAAGAACTGGGTACGACTATTTGGTGGTCCTGGTTGCCTTATCTGCTGATCTGAACACAACTCTTTGGCCTCTGTAATCAAATTGCAAGCACTAACTGGACGGAGTCTTCTGAAACGGCACTCCTCTCAGTTTTTCTGGGTTTCCCAGCAGTAGCAAAGGAAGGTGTTCAAGCTTCCTTTTTTCTTCAGCCTGGGCATTAATCCCCAGATATTGGGGGTCACCCACAATCCCACATATTAGGAAATGGATTAATGCGCTCAAACAATATTATGAAAACAGAGGATATAATGGCCCATCTACATGAAGGCCTCCAACAGTTACCACATGAAGCACATGGACTGAATTTTTTTTTTTTTTTACATTCCCCATCTTCAGCCTTTCCTTTGACTTAATTCTTGTAAGTTGTGAGTTCTCCGGCACTTTGTTGCAGATTCCTACTTTTTCTGCTCTGAAGGAATAGCGCTTTAGCTTGGCATACGTTATATCATTTTCTTGTTCGATTTCCTTTAGATTTACCTTTAACTATGTAATGCAAGGGCCTGCACAGAAATTGAAAGTGTTTAGGTGTGGCCTCATTATATGGTTTTGGTAAATCTAAAGGTAAATTGTACAAGAAAATTGTATAATGTATGGCCAGCATTTTGTTAGATCATGACTTGTGCAGAACCGATTCTGAATGGGAGTGCAAATAATATCCAATTAGGAACACCTGCTCTACTACCAAATTTTTATTTATCTGATAGTAGCCACTAAGACACCCCTGTGCAATCACTAAAACTCACAGAAATTAAACCAATAAATAAAATGCAGTGAAGCGCTTCCTATGTGAGCAACCTCTGTTGCCAATTTATTTATTGTATGAATAGGTTTTTCACATAGGATGCGCTACATTGCATTTTATTTACTGAATGAGTGATTTTTTTTTTTTGTTTTTGATAATTCACTTGCAGGGATCGAATGAGGAGAATTAGCAGGGTCTGCTTTCCTTTGGAAGTGATTTACTCTTTAGGAGCATCTCACCAAAACTGAAATGTTTGTAGTGGATGCCTAAAATCTGCCTTGTGTGCTAGGCTCGCTGATTTTCCCAGAAATCTACACTAAGGTACAAGGAGGAAATAACATCTCTAGGGGCATTCACACCAACTGCGTAGAACACATTCAGGTTGCCATTTTGCATTGACTTTTGCAGAAAACTTCTGATTGAAATGGAAGTTAATTTTTTTAATAACCATAAATTACAATATAGATTGTGTCACTGTTTCATATGCTCTAGCTAAATTCTTTTTTTTTTTTTTTTTTTTTGCAATATTTTTTCCCATGAAACTGTAGTTTCCCTTTAAGGGCTCATGTACACGGGGTGTTTGGAAAATGCTTCTGAACGATGGAAACTGACTGCTGGAAAATGTAGGTTAATAAAGTCAGTTTAGCCGCGTTTGCATATCACGTTTATGCGTTTACATTTAGAAGCGTTTTTAAAAGATAACCTCAGGAGACCTTCCCAAATGCCCAGAATGCACTGCAAAATAGTAAATAACTATTTCAGACAAATCGAGAGCGCAGAATCAGAGAGAGCAGTATGTGTTGAGATGACCTGTCTTTTCTGGTTGTATTCACTATGGATCCCATCATGAGCATAATGCAGCACATTCTACCATTTTTGTCCTTCATGCGAAACCTGGAACTGACTGCGCTGGTGTACTATGTCCATTTGAATACATGGAAACCACTTTGCATGCATTTCTGATGATGAAAAAAAGGCTCTGGACAGCATCAGGATATGGAACAGTTAAAAAAAAAAAAAAAAAAAAAAAAAAAAGCTTCTAAACGCAAACGCTTATAAATGCAGTTAACTGTGTTTATAAGCATTTAGCATTTGAAACGCCAGTAAATTCTACTCCTGAACACAAGTTTGGTGCGATCAAAAAAAACGACTGTAAACTCAACTGCCTGTAAACGACAATGTGTACATGGACACATAGGAAAACATTAGTAAGAGTTCAGGGGCTGCAGAAAAAAAACGCTGAACAGCTCCTGAACGTCAGTTTATCAGCTGCAGTGTACATGAGCCCTAAGCCTCTATGGAAACAGGATAGGTACAAAACCAGTGGTCAAATCAGGCAAAAATCATCTCGTTGTTGGAGCTCTATATCTTCAATCCAAACTCCTAGGATTTCCCCAGTGATATGCAAACAAGATGAGGAGAAACGTCGGTACTATCATGGTGGATTGTAAATTTGTGCTTCAAGAACAAAAACCCTTAACTTGAAAATGAAAACCCTCCTTTAACCTCTAGTCATAACATTTTTTTCTCCAAGTCTAGCAGTGAGGAGGTTAACCTTGTATTGTATTCTCATTTCTAGACTATAGTTTATTCAGTCATTAATTTACCCTGTCACAAAACTTGGTTGGCTCTTGATCTCACCATTGTCACCGCAGGCACTGTGTTCTTGTGACATAGGAAATGCAGTTTTCACTCCATTGCCATGAGATTTCCTTCCAGGGTCGACCATAATACTAACAAGTTGAACACGTTGATTGAATACTTTGCTGACCTAAAACATAATTTCATAGGCTGCGCTAAAAATAGCAGGAGGTAGATAAAGTGAATTATTCTTTCACTTAATAAGTAAAAGGGAAAGCAGAAGAACAGGAAGGGGAAAGATCTGGATTTTTATCTGTTTATTCTTGGATGATCTTGCCAAATTTACATTAAAATACAGAATGGCATTTACAAGGAAAGAAGAATTGTAATTAATGTTGTGATTGCTGTAAACATTAT